TGGGAATGTGCTCAGCCACTTGTGCTGAACTGTGAAGCCAAGGGCAAAAGGCAAGAGTGAGTTTCCAGGGTGAAGACTGAACTGCTGGATGACAGTAAAGATAGTGTTGGATGCAGGCTCACAGCACCAGCCTTACATCTTAAACAGATCTTTGTCAGGCACAAGATCGCACAGTCCCCACAGTAATAATAAAGCAACATGTCTTCTGTTTTTTTACTCACTTCTCTCTTTGAAGAACTGTTTTTAGTAGTCAAGCCTTCTGACAGATTTGACAAATTGTTATTACTGTGTGTCCAGCACAAACAGTTCTCAAAATACTCAGAAAAGAGAGAGGAAAAAAAATCTATTAAAAAACACAGAGGTGCTTTCAGATCCAGTCAAGTGAGATTAGTCAGTTTAGTGCGGCTGCATGGCTGCAGTCATTAATTGAGAGCCAAGGGAGATATATTCTACAGAGAGCAGAGCATTTTACAGCATATCTTGGATAAAACATCTCCTGGTCAGTATTAACTCCCAAGCCTTGTTAAACAGCATAATTGAAAGAAAAATGTCACATAATTTTGCTCCTAAATAATTGATGGCGGCTGAGCACTAGACAAAAGGCCTGGCTCTCCCTCCCCTCTTTAAGGTTCTCCAGGCCATGTCTGCAAAAACCTGCCAGCAGTCAATGGAATTTATGGGGATGTAAAAATATTGTAGCTGATCAGAGAAACAGCGTTTATTTACTACACTATTCCTATTGTTTTGAGATTTTGTAGACCTGTTTTCTTTTGCTGAATACACAGATATATCCAAGAGAGTTTAGGAAAATACCTTAAAATATAAAAACACTGCTGGCTTGTCTGTTGTGCTTAAAGAAGCTTACGACCTAAAGAAATCTGGGATCAAGTTTTCTGTTTGCTAACAACAGAAGGGAAAATCTACAAAATCAGATTACAAGCTAAAAACTAAAAAAATAAATACTATTTCTTGTATGCAAAACAGATGGACTTTAAAAAGAGATATTTTGAATGGTTACTTTATATTTTTTTATGTAGCAGTTTTGAAAGCAATTTATTTACCTACTTGGAAATAATTTCCTCTAAGGCTAGGAGGACCTTTCTAGCATTTTGGCTTCATAAAGGACCTTATACACAGTATGCAATTCATACATAGTTAAACAATTTTGTCTAATGCAAGTGACACTTCTTCATCCATTTTCATCTTTTTCTTTCTTGTGAATTGCAGCTGTTACATCTGTGGCAGTTTCCATAGTAACACTCAAATTTGGACTTTAGTAAAGGGTGGGAACAAGTAGCTTGAGAATGATTGACCAGGAAATAGATTTAAAATGCAAAATTATAAAACATTTAGGGTCTATTAGGGGGAAAAACAATCCAAACCCCACACAAATGAAAAACCTTGAATCTTTTCCAGCCCTTGCAAAGTTTTAACCAAGCCTTCCGAAACTACTCCAAACAGCAGTTCTGTAAACATAAAACATTAACACGGTGACATGAGATTTGGCAGTTTGATGAGACAGTAGTTTCCACTGCAAAGATCATGGCACTGTAACTTTGTACTAAATTTTCCCTATAAAGAGTTCTGTAATTTTTGCAATCATTCCACTTTCTCTCAGGAAGCAATCTTGCCTCAGCAACGTGTGTTGGAGTCACATGTGATAGCATGGAGGCGGTCTGGACAGGCTCTAGAGTATGATCTCAGCACAGCAAGATTTAATAATAATCACATGGCAGTTGCACAGGAAAAATGTTCATAAATTACAACAACGCTTCCCCCTTATCTGCCCCAAAGTCAGTTTTAAGGACCATCTCTGTTTCAAAGCTGTGCCTATATATATTTAGCTAAAGCTCAAAAGAATAATGTGAGTAGGAACTAGTAGAAACATAAAGAACCTGGAAGACAGAGAGTCTACCATGACTGCTGCACAAGCCTGCCCCATGGAGTGAAAACTCTCTAGAAATAACTGTTGCTAATAGCTTCAAAGGGAGGGAAAATAGAAGAGAGAGCAGATATTTGGTGGTTTAGCAGCTAAAACTTTGAACCATTCACCTCTGTATCCATGATAAAAGCCCAGCTTGAAGTTCTCAGAAAAAGTATTTTCTACTTCAAAATGGAAAGACCTTACCATACATAATTGGAAGTGATTTAGGATAAGGAGTTAAAATAGTAGTTTTATAGGGTCATGACCTTTAACCTCCACATTTTGTCATGGTGCTTTTTTACAGCTGGTGACATTTAGTCTAGGGAATAATTTGTCTTGACATGTTTTTGTTTTGCTTTGTCTTCGGTTTTGTAGCAGCATTTGGTTTTTCAGCAGTGGCACATAGATACTTCTCGTAAGTGCTTAGATGCCATAAATTGGATTATTAAAAGTTTGATTATTTGTCTCATCTCCTGATTTATTGTAGTACATTAATTACAATTCACGCTCATATCTAAAATCAGCCTTACAAAGTCATGATTGGAATTCCATGGAAAGAAACCAGACTAAACAGAGAAGGCAGATTTTGTGTTCTAATGAATGCCTGCCTGGTTGGGATGGACCCTGTAACTGTTCTAGGCTGCCCATAAGTCTTAATTTTATGCAATCATGGTAGATACCTGTTAATAAGACTAAAGCAAATCATGGGACTGAGCCTAAAGAAGGTTTTATTCCCTGCTATCATCCTTTTGATGATACAAGTGTTGCTGTATAAGATGACTTGGCCGTGTCACAAGTTGTGCACCTCTCTCACAGCTGGGTTTCTGTGTAAGCAGTGAAGACACCTGGAAACTCACGCACTGTGTGTCTGCAAGTGTGAGCAGGGACTGCAGTCTCTGCTTAACAAAGCCTTCACTTAAGTCTTCACCAGAAAATACTTTTCTATTATGTAAAAGTTACCGAACGTATTCAGGCATGCATGCATACATTTGTAAATAAAGCAGGGTTTAATGGTTTGAAAGGCATTTCAGTTCATCTTGATATGACTTTGCTAACCCTTTTCAGAAACACTGTGATGAGAAAAGGAAAAGCATCTCAGAAAAAAACTGATCAGAAGTTTAGCCTAATGAATCATGATAACTGAAGGAAGGCAGGAGAAGGAAAGAGAAAACCAACCCAAACTCATAAGAAAGGTGAAGTACAACAAGATGACTAGTGAAAGAGTTATGTGCTTTGCTTCATGCAGCTTGGCAAATAGAGGAACACAAATCACTGCAGAGGAAAAAATGCTCTTGGAAATCTCTGGAGACTGGTTTCACATGGCTAATTTACAACCACATGCAGCATCTGTCACTTTTACAAATCAATGAGAGTGCCTACCCTCTAATAGCACAGGTTCACTGGTAAAGGTTGCTGGTGTCGGCCATACAGATGAGACCTTTCAGGATGTCAGAAAAGAATGTCGGTGACGCACATTAACACCCACACGCTCCTTTATGTCACTTCCAATTTACTTTATCTTAAATTGTCAGCTAGCAGAGCTCACTCTGATATTAATAACTGGAGGTTTGCATCCAAGCCAGGAAAAATAAACCCTGCTGATAGCACCATGAGACATCTGGCTTGCTCTAAGGAAAGGCAAAAGAGAAAGATAGAGTTCTTAGTCCTTCTTAGTAGAGTCTGCAATATTCAGAAAGGAAAAAGATGGTATGACTCACAGAAGGCCCATGTATACAGAAGAACACTTGTATTTTGTCATTTTTTGTACATGTTGTTCAACAGGAGAGTGATTCAATTATTTTACAGTATTGGAGTACTATAGAAAATGTTAATACTATGTTAATAAAATGTCAATAGCAATACCATATATTATATAAATTGTTCCCATGAGCTACAGGTAGTTTCCCCGACCCTGAGTTTAAATTTCTGCATGGTATTAGTAGGCATTTAATCCTCTTTCTCACTCATTAAGTCTCTCCAGTCTTATTGGAGAGACTTAATGGTCTTGATTCAATTTTTGAATTCAGGGGGTGTAAGTTGAGATGTGGGACTTGATGACGAATATATAATTTGGGTAAATCAACAATGCCAGACTTGTCTCAGACCAGCTAGCAGGCCAAAGCACGTGTCCATCATTGCTCTTTGCCAGTACAGGACAGCATCCCCAGCCAGGTGCTGGGGAGAAGCACTGATGCAGATGGTACCCACAAGAGTTCTTTGCCAGGGTTACTCTGCAACACTGCAGCTTTCCATTGAGGGAAATCACAGAGAGCCTTGTAGCTCTCCCCAAGGTAATTACATCTGTCTTCTTTCATGTACTTAATCAGGAGAATGAAACCCTAACTTTTATTTCTGTCTCCCTTACCTAAGCAGGGGAGATATTTTGACTGAACCTGCACATGAGGACCTTGCTTTTTCAGACCAAACTTTAGTATGTTCATTGGAAGGCTGAGAAAAGAATATGTCCCCATTTGAATGATTATCAAACTTCCTCAAGGAACTTGTAGGACTCATTCCATAATCGTAATTTTATTAATTGCATCTATATCCCTTTGGTCATATTATTTTCAAGATAAAACATCTTAGAAAGGTTTTTCTTTTTCCATCAGATCCTTTCCCTGTCTCTAATGTTGTTGGCAAGCTCTATCACCTACCTCATTGTCTCCTTTTCCTGGTTATTTATACATATGTAAAATACATTTATGTCAGCAACAACCTCATTGCATCCACACCGTCAACAAAAATACTTTTTTATTGCTACATTTTATTTTCTGGTTTTAATATATTTCTATTTTGTGGGCTTGTCTCCTCTCCTGTCTTGCAACAACACTGGAACCAACCTTTGACGCAGAGCAAGACTGAAAGCTTATCTGAAAGTTCAACTGCACAGTATTAGCCAGATCATGCTTACTCCCGTGTTTTAGGTCATTTATTCCAATAAATCTAGTGGCTATACTAGTGATGATTTCCAGCTACAAAAGTAATACCTTATTTCCACGTATGTCATACTGATCCCAGTGATCATTACCTGTTTTTTTGTCAGCTTCCTGGAAAGAAATTTCAGTGGTCTTAAGCCTGACTTTCAAGTACGTAATTTTCAGGACTACCCTTGAAGCACCATTAAAGACTGATGCCGTGGTTGCCATCCCTTTTTCCTCTAAGAGGTAAGTTAAATATATTTGACTCATCAGTAGTCACCCTTGGACTGCAGAACAGACGTAGCCTCAGTAGCAATAAATTTAGCAAATGGATGCGTGTCAGGATGGCAAAAAAAGATTCATCTGCCATCTTTGAAAGGCTAAGAGAAAAATAGAAAACCTACCCATGTCCTGGCATGCATCAGGGCTAGCATCTTCAGCTGCGTAAGGGATTGCCTCGCTAGTGCTCCGCACTGGGGCCTGCCCTGATCCCCTCTCCTTGGTGATGAGGATGTGACAGAATGGCCTGAAGTTGTGTCATGAAACGTTTAGGTTGGGTATTAGCAAAAGGTTCATTCCCCAGAGGGTGGCTGGGCGCTGAACAGGCTCCCAGGGAGGTGGGCACAGCACCAAAGGTGCTCAGACAGTGCTCTCAGGCACTTTTGGGGCTGCCACTGTGCAGGGTAAGGAGCTGGACTCAGTGATCCTTGGGGTCCCTTCCAACTCACCTTATTCAATGATTCTGTGATTCTGTGACTAATTACATCTCTACAAAGGAAGTTGTGACATTTACTCAGACTCTTAAGTTTTGTCTAAGAACCGTCTCTATTCTTGCACTTCTGCTTAGGTGACGAAGTTTTGCATAGGAAAAAATAACCACCCTAGTTGTCAATCACCTAAACTACACATATTTCACTAATCTGTGTCAGGTGTTAGATAGGGGAAGAAAGTGAGCAGTAAACATATAAGGCAGAGACTCCCCAAGACAGGGATGTTGCAGAAACGATTTACACATTGCAGCAAAAATGTTGCCCCCAGATTTACCTCTATTTGGCTGTTATGCTGGAACTGTCACACTTCTTGATGTGATAACAAAACAGAAAAACCTTGTGGAATTGTTGTGATTGTTGGCAACTAAGCACAATAGAGCTCTCCCCAAGTGAAGCAAACCATTTTCTCAGAGTGATTTGCAAAGTATTACAATAAGGTGTTAATGAAAAAACATATACAGCTATGAAGGAAATCTCTGTAATTTTACATTTTGAAACTGAAGGCAAGAATTCAAGCAGTCATTTCTGCTCTAAAACTCCAATGGAATCTTCACGTTTGTAATGGGGCTTAACAGACACAGGCTACAGAAGAAGGTAGAGCCTGCTCTCGTTCAAAACAGATTTCCGGGATTTTTGTGACGTAGCAGCATGTCATCCCAGATTTAAAATTTGGTCCTTTCCTCAGGATTTTCAGTGATGACTGTTATTCCTTGGCAATAAGCAAAGCAATTGGAATACTAAGAATTAAGAATTATTATTTTACTAGCAATGCTTTATGATGAGGACATACACTGCATAGTGAATGTTGGAAATTTTGGCCACATTTTCGTTTTAACTCAGGAATTTTAAACTTAACAGAAGCACATGGGGTGTTGTCATAAATAAATAGCACATGAGTACAATAGAAAAGAAGCAGTTCCCGTTGATCTGTATAGAAACTAGTGTTCCTTAATTAGTTGTGGTTGCTGTTTTCATTTATCACCAGTGATTTCCAGAAGACAAAATGGTATGTAACCTGTGCAAGATACACAGCTAGATACATCTGCTTAGCAGCTTTAGTGACCTATACTCAGCTTTTACTCTGCTGCTCTTTGTGCTCAACTGTCAATTGTTCAGGCCAAGCTGACAGTCCTAATCATGCCTTGCTAGCTTCAGTTCAAGTCTATAAAAAAACATGCTTCTTACTTGTGACTAAAACGTAGAACCTGCTCCCAGTTTTTTCTTCTTTTGCACTTACATTAATTAAAATATGTTTGGGATAAACCATAGTTAAAAATACTTAATCTCACAGGAAATCAGCACATGTGGTGACATCATACTGAACCACATTCTCACAGAGGAAACAAACACTGAATGTAACATAAAAGCATTCAATGAAGTTCAGAGCTAAGGGCATACGATCAATTTCAGCTACTTCCCTGTCTCTATCCAGAAGATGCTGTACACAGGAGTGATCCTGATATACCATATTGAAACCCATAAATTTCCCGAATTGTCAATAACTGCAAAACTCTGAAACCACAGCAGCAGCTGCTGAGGCATGTAGAAATTTTGTTTAAAGCCCATGGGTTTTCATGGCAAACTGTCCTTGTTTGTTTATTCAATTGGCACTTCAAGGACTAACAATATTCCAAATGCCTCATATGGGACAAGATGCCTTCTTGTGCTGGATAATCATCTTAGGCCAAAATAACCTGTCCTTCAGACAACACAATCCATAAAAATAAAAATAAAAAAAAAAAAGAAGAGAAACTTTTAAATGGTCTACTCAGACACAGACTGTTTCAAATCAACAATAACAGCATTAAAATGACAAGACTTCTGTTTTATATATTTTGATCAAAGAAGTATATATTTTTTTAATTTAAGTCCTAAGAAGAATGGGCACTGTCTGTATTTCTCAGATCTCTTGCCCAGAGAGAGTTTTTGTTTATTGCTTTAGATCCTTTTCTTGCTATTCTATTTTTTTTTCTTAATTCAAAGTGCTCCAAAGGTTTTGTGGGGTTTTTTTTTGGTTTGGAGGTTTTGGGTCGGTTTTTTTTTTGTTTTGTTTTGTTTTGTTTTGTTTTGTTTTGTTTTGTTTTGTTTTGTTTTGTTTTTTTGGGTTTTTTTTTCTTCTTCTTCCTTCCTTTTATAGTTCTCTAGTGAATATAGGCAGTTAAATAAAATACTATTTTTATCTGTGCATCACTCCTGCTCAGCATGATGCCACAGAAGAAAATGGATGAAATAACAGACATTGGTCAAGGAGCTAAAAGCTGAACTTGATCCATAAGAAAACAATACCTTCACATTACTGAGAGAAGAGCAAGCAGCTATCACTAATCTTTTCTATAAGATTCATGTCAATTTGAAAGCCTTCTTTAATATTGGGTTTTTTCCTGCTATAATTTTCAGCAAGATTTTAGACCGTGCTCTAGACAAATAATTTTTTTCTTTCTGCATGTGAATACTTTTTAATTTGTTGACACAGAATTTTATGCCAGAAAAGTGAGAATGCACTGAAATTCAATGAAATATTTGAACAAATAAGGCAAGAATTGAACACCTTTTGTCCCCACTCCTAGGAGGCTGGAATAGAAACTGCCCAGAAGGGATCTGCACTCTTCAATTGTTCAGAGTGCTGTGGAGCAGAAGTACAGATTGGCAAGAACTGGCAGAAAAGATGCTGCCCAGAAACCAAGTGCTCTTCAAGCATTCTCAGCACATTGGCAAGGTTCCTGAAGCAGCATATCAGAGCAAAATAAACTCAAAGCCAAAAATTAAACCTGAGAAATACAGTCAACTGCTCTTACTATTTGTGCTCAAGAAGATGACCTTCTAGAATTGATCTCCTTGCATATGAAATCGCTTATCAGCTCTGCTGTCGTTATTCCAAACTTTCATTCTTTAATTTTGCATGCAAATCAGAAACCAAAAGCCTAGTGCAAGTCCTGAAGGTTCTCTCTGACTACAGGTATGATCAACACTTACTTTGGGAGTGGGGTTCCAGTGAGGTTCTCTCATTGTAAAGTTTACTGAAGCAGTTTTGATCTTCAGGATTTTTTACCTAAAAGCTGCAGCAGCCTAGTTTCTGACCAGGCTCTTAAAAACTAAATGACATTCAACACAATGTAGAAAAAAAGTGTCATCTCCATCTAGATTAAACAGATTCTAAGCAATGTATTTTTCAAAACTAATCAGCTTGCGAATGAAAATATAATCATTTAAATACTGATGTTCTTGAAATAGTTTTTATGGTGTAACCCTTATGTCCTTAATCACATAAACATAGTCACTCACTTCCCCATGATGAGCTCTAACCTACTATTGAAAAAATCTGAGCTTCGTAGCAGGGTTCTGCATGGAGCATTGTAATTTATATACAGGTCTTTGCCCTTCATTTTTGTCCTAAGTTCTCCAGATATGTCTCTGTCTGCAATATATTTACCTGTCCTGTAACCACTCCACTCCGTATCTGATCACAATTTCCATCACATATCCTTCCAAGCCTGTGAGTGAGTGTATGCAGCAGTGAGAGAAAGAATAAATCATATAAGTGGTCTTCTCAGTCACTTAATAGAGAAACTTAACGCAGTCTTCTGCCTCCTAATCCTGATGGTTCAGACCACTTGTTCATTTGTTGACAGATTTTGTTCAAGGTGAATTATTCTGATTGAATAAGGATTTTTGCCTGTATAGACCTGTGCAATGCTTTTTATCTTGGCCAATAAAGCCTGTGTACTGGTCACTGACACAATAAACCTATGACAGACGTGGCCACTAACCCAACATCTTTTGCATATTAATTTCTGTTATGTGCTATTTTGAGAAAAACATATTACAGGGAAAGTGTGCAACAATTTGCAGGCTTAAAAAAATAGTATGATATCTCTCAAAATTTTTAATTTTATTTGCAATTTTTCCTTAAGTATTTTTGGAAGCATGTGCCTCCGCTCCATATCCATAGGGGAAAAGTTAATCAAGAAAGTTCTTGACTGGAACCCAAGACTTATTCCTTTTTTTTTTTTCAACTTACACAATATTAAATTCATTCAGTGTATCAGAAGAATGACATTCCTGCTTTTCTTTTTTACTAGAAAAAATATTTACATAAGTGTGTTTCCTTCAATCTCCATTTCAGATCATACTTGGAACATAGCAGTACATATTACTAAAGAAGGTAAGTCATAGTATATTCTTCATTTCCTGTACCTGGTACTAACCAATGGTAGTTCTGGTGCAGTTACTGCCAGACTTATGGAAAAGCACCCTTTGGATAAAATCATAATGAATATTTTAGTAATACTGCACAAAACCTGATTCCTTTGGTCCAAATTCTGTCTCTTCTACAGCCCAAATGCACAACAGAGGTGGTCATACATACCAAAGCAATGTTCTTTTTGATTCTGTAATGTAGAAAACATGAAAGAGAATTTTGGCCTCTGGGATTATTTTTTTTCTTTCTACAGAAGAAAAGGAAAGAAAAGAATATTATGAAAGCAACTACTCTGAATTGATCAGAACTTAACCATGAAAGCAAATGAAAGAGGGGAAAACAAATAATTACAATAATGCAAAAATGAAAGGAATCCTTACGGGAATCCTGTGTCTGAGCACTGAGATAATGTGCCTGTGAAGGTCCAGTGAGTACTTTTCTGATAATCATTAATACATAAGTAGCTTTAACTTTAATGCAATATATCTGATATTGTTGTAAATACTTTACCTGTATTATCACAATAATTAGTTATTGAGTTATTCACAACACATTAAAACATAAATAACCTATGAAAATTATTACCATTTTAAGACAATTTTTTTACAGGACAAAAGGTGCAAAGGCATAGGCACTGAATTTACTACAATGGTAAAGACATAGCACCCACACTAAAAAGCTCCTGCATTTGGAGTATGAATACATAATAAGATCTTAGTAGTGTAGAATATAGGCTTGAGAACACAGCTGTAGAATGTTGTGGTTAACAAAAGAAATAAAAGCAGAAAACAGGATAATTAAACATAGAAAACAGAGAAGAGAATGCAAGATTAAATACTAACAAAGAATCTATTTCTGGAAGACATGGTTAGAAATTATTTTCGTTCCCCCCCTCCCCTTTTCATTTAGAAGCTTAGAAATGGCTAATAAGTGTAAAGCAGGTGTTATGGAAGCATATGATGTGGATTTAAACCATGTTTTTGATTAAAATGATTCCGAGAATTGGTGGTGGGAGTCAGAAAGAAGTAAGGCAGACTCAAGTTCTTTTTATTTGCTTAAAGGATGAAGTGATCCGAATTAAAAAATCTCCCATGGTTTGTGTTGAGTAGTAATGAAATTTTCTTCCCCTGGCACTGAAGTGTGTTTTACAGTTTCAGCAGCACTCTGTATTTAAATCCTATTATTACCTACCAGAATAAACAAGAAGTTTAACACGATTATTTGGGATGTTCCACTTAAAGCTGGATTTGTTACTACGTCTATCTATAGGTTCATCATTTTCTTAGACCATAAGATAGAGGGTGAGCATCTGTTACCCTATCTGTAATACTTAGGACACTGCTTAATGAAAATTTTGCTTATTGTGGGAGAAATCCTCTCAGAATAGTTTAAAAGGCCTATTTCTAAATATACTAATCTTGAGAGTTGCAACTTTTGGAAGATTCAAGATAATGAGCATACCACAACAGTCTTGTACAGATGTATAAGAAGGAGGAATAAAATGTATACATAGGAAGGAGTTCCTTTGAAGCAAAGAATAAAAACTCAGCACTTCAGGCATACACTGCCTCTGCCATCATTAGTTTAGAAAGGTGGCAGAGTGACCACATATTTATTTCAAACTAAGTGCCTAAAATGAGCTGTGTAAAACAGGGTTGTCAAGTCCCATTGAGGAAAATCCTGAAGTTTTTTTCAGAATAGAAGGAGGATATCAAGTGAGGCTGTCTTATGCTGAGTACCAGCCTTCAGACATCCTGTCCTCACTGCTGGTGCTGAGCTGCAATTAAATAAATCCCTGGGAAATCTGAAGTATTCTTATTTTGAGGTACTTGGAGAGACTGGATGGATATTTCTTCTATTTCAAGTGGGTAATGGTGTTGTAGTCTATCATCAGACAACCTTTGTAATGTGACTACTATTGCTAATTAGGTCCTGTAACACCACCCTTTTCTCCTGTGGACTGAGTGGCAAGTGTGTGACCACATCAGGACAGGAGACCACCTCAACCCCGTTGCAAGTTTCACACTTTAATTAGTCAAGCAGCCCAGGAAGCAGAAAACCTGTGTTTTCTACAGTGTTAGAGCAGGCTGGGTGAGGGTCAGGGGAGGCAGTAGCCTCCAGCTCACAGTGCTCTGCAGGGTGAGCACTGCTGTGATCCTGAGTGCTTTCAGCCCACCCAGTGGCTCATCCTCTCCATTTCACTGCCGCCACCCTGCCGCCCCTCAATGCGCCTCCCAGAGGAGCACTGAAGGACCAGAAGGTTCATAAAGGAGACAGATGGCTTAAAAAACCTGGTCTGTTTTAAAAATGCGATTTCCTCCTAGTGGAACCACATTTTTGAAAGCAGTAGCCCAAAACTCCTGGAGGTGCCAGTTCTCACTGATTTTTCTGAATGCCTCAAGTGATATTTTTTGCACATTAGTACTCATTAGTTAGTTTACAGTATATCACAATCATTAGAGAGTTATTCATTGCTAATTCAGCATTTAAGACTTCTGCAATTCATACAGAGTAAGTTTATCTTATGCACAAAACTCTCTTGATAGTTTTCTTCATTTGTTAATTTTATAGTCATATTGTAAATTAGGATTTTTCTCTGTTAATACACAAATGTTGTAATATAGGTGCTACTTTTGAAACAAGAGGTTTTGCACAATACGGAAAGAGGAGAGGATGAATTAAAATTTTTCTAGTGGATTTAAATTGGCTACTGATGGTTATTTTCCAAAACTCTTTCCAACCTGAAGTTTAGCTGGCAGGTGATAAAGTCAGCCACTAATTTTGGTTTTCTTTTCCGGTTTGAACTTCTGTGACTGTGGCTCTTTTTTCCATTTCATTCTTACAAACCATGGAACAGAGATAATGTAATAATGCACAAACCCCCCCTGTTCCTTGTTGGGAAAGCTGCAGTTTAATGTGATCAGGTTAAATTCAGTACTGAATGCAACTGTGCTCAAAGATTGTTTTAGCTGCTATTAGCAATATTCAACATTTTCTCATGCAAGATGCTGGGATAGACAGACTCTAGCAAGCCTTACTACCTTCTTAGGATTCCAAGATATAGGTGTTAAGATACTTTCTATATGTAATTATTAGGATACCTCACACGTAGGTATTGGGATACCTATATGAATATATCATAATCCTACATAGAGGATTTTGATACCTGACTAGGACTGTAGTACCTCTGTGTTTAAAATCATGTGAAATTATCAGGATGGAATGAGAAGTCTATGAAAGATGCCATGATGTGATCTCATACAAATACTTGTATCAGCTGGGTAATTGAAATAGGAAAAGTAATCCTTACACCAGCTATTGCAACAACTTTATGCTGTTTATGGTAGTTAACTCTGCATTTTTACTGGGTACTGGTGTTCCAAACCAAAATTTCATTCTAAGATAGCTGTATTTGTATTTTGCTTTTCTATGATCACTGACCATGGGGTTTCATTAATTTTCATGATGATTATTTTTATGTTTTATAGAATCATAAAATCATATAATGGTTTGTGTTGGAAGGGACCTTAAAGATAATCTAGTTTCAACCTCCCTGCCATAGACAGGGACACCCATTAGTGGACCAAGTTGCTGAAAACCCCATCCATACTGACCTCAAACAAAGCAAAGGACGGGACAGCCACAATCCTGAGCAACAGGTTATGGAGACGGTGCCTCACCTTTTACTGTGAGAGTGATACCCTCACAGTAAAAACATCTTTCCTAATATCCAATCTTAGCCTGCCCTTTTATAATTTGAATCCATTCCCCCTTGTCCTGTCAAAAGGTACACTTATAAATAGTCTCTGTCCATCTGTCTTGTAGGATCCCTTCAGGTAGTGGAAGAATGCAGTAAGAAGCATCCTGAAGTCCTCTCTTTTTATAACAGCACAATTTCTCTTTATGTAATAGCAGAGGAAACAAAAAAAAAAATCTTCTGCCTTTTTACAAAGAGCTTTTTACTTTTAAAAGGGAGGTAGTTGGCATTCTAAATTGGTTACAGCCATTTACAAATAAAACCAGCAAAAATGGGTCTCATATGAATTGCACCTATGATCTTCAATATACCACAGAAATTCAGGCATCTGTTCTGTTAAATTTCTGATTGTTTGAAAATTGGCCTTACACGCAATAACCCGTCTGACTAGTGTATGTCGGAATCCTTAGTGCTACAGTTGCCAGCTCTAGTTAGAAATAATAGAAATGAACTATATTATGCTTCGGAGAACCTTAAATTAGGAAGTCAGTGCTGTCTTGAAAAGTAGAAATTTCATGTGTCTCTACTCTCATGTTCCAGTGGATATAATTGAACCTCATCAGCTAATTCTATTGTCTGTGATAGATCCTATTTTGCAAAACTACCCATGTAAAAAAATCTGAATATCTTTAGATTTTTCTTCTGTGTTTGAAATATTTCTGGGCTGTCACCTCAGAAAAACAGTAATAGTTTTGGACCAGGATTTTCAAAATTGACTTTAATAGTCAGTTTTTATCTTGTCGAGTGGTGCCCAATTTTCTGAGATTTTTCTGAACAGTGTTTTTTTGAGAAAAATCAGCCTTTAGGTATCCTTAAGATTATATTTTCTTTAAATCCTTAAATCACAGCTTTACCTTGGAAAACCATTCTTCTTAGACATCACATTCTGACTTTTTTCTAAACATTATTCATCAGTTTCAGTCAAAGTCTGACCTGCTGCTCATCTGACCTGATTACTGGTGTTGCTTTGGCTGTTATTTCCAGCCAGTAGATTGACAGCACTTTTCTGTTCTTGAAAAGAGAATCTTTGCTGATATGAATTAATATCATTCAATGATGAAGTGATTTTATTAATTTTTCCTGGCTTTCTTATATTCTTATATTTTACTTAATCTACTTGAATGTGGTACGCACATTCCTTGCAATATTTCAGAGAAAACTTGGATCGTTTAACAAGCAGTTAATTGCATGACATTTGGAATGGATTTACTGCATTGGCATCATGTACTTCATCTTCTATCCTCCAGCCCTTGAAGAAGTGCTATATGGCACGTGCACACCCCAGGTCACCTCTTCTGACACCCTGGAAGATACTGGATAAATTCATCTACAATTCCAGCTTCTTTTCGGTCTAATTGATTTTGTTTCACTCACTGGAAGATTTCTTCTATAGACCAAAAGCTAATACTTCTTACACATTCATCTTTGGTATATCTACTGTTTGGGTTTTGTTTTATGTCTTTTGCTTCCTTTGGTGTTCCCAATGTGTGGTGGTCCATTCTGGAGAGCACCAGCCACAGCACTGGACCCTGGACACTGAGAACTCCACAAAAGAAGCATCTTATTTGGTTACGGTGAG